GGGGGTGGGCACAAGTCTGCCAAAAAAAGTTCTGCAGCCCCATAACATACCTCCCACGTAGATGGAGAATTTGCGATTCCGCCACGAATGAACGAGTGAACGAACCAAGGCAAAGGAGGGTAAAAGCCGTCTGTGGAAAAATGATTAATTGCCTCTAAATAGACCAAGTAAGTATGCAATACAAGAAATATCACGGGCTTGGAGTGGGGAGGGCAGGCGGAAAGAGACAAAAAAATTTTGTCCGCTTTCCTTTCTTTTCATTTTTCCCCGGACTATTCCCAACCCAATACTTCGTATAAATATTAACATCACCGCCCAGTATGATTGCCAGATGGGGGAAATTAACTCGACTACTATATTTACTTGCCAAGGCAGAGAGCACACCGATCTCTCGCCAATTTGAGTTACAAAACGAAATTCCTTCCTGCGTTTCTTGGAATTTTTTTTTGGTAAGACCTCTCTTTGCTATATATCCGTCGGATAAGTTGACTATAACCTTATCTTGATCTAGTGAAAATTCAAGAGAAACTAGGTCGAAATATGTGCATTTTATCGGAAATCAAAGAAACCAGTTGACGCTATCGATGGGACCCTCAGACACTATGTTTAATGAGGACATTAAGGGTCTAATCTCCAGCTGGTTTAAATCTCGTGAGATTCAAGCGTAATTGAAATGCCGCATATCTGAATGCCATCCTCAGCGTTGACATTAGCTCAATACGAGCTTACGAAGCTCTCCTCTGTCAAAAATGCTACCTATCGCATCAATTATATCTTTACTTAAAATTTAAAATAAGCCGTATCAATAGAGACACTTTGTCTATTCAGTCGTTGGGATCAAAAAATTAATACTGATAAATAAATATTATCAAATACTGCTGGCTATTAGGCTCTGAACAGGGTGGATAAGAACTTGTTATAAATCAGGGGTGAATCAAGTAAATCGAATTTTGTAAAAATGAACTGCACATTTAGTAAGCATTGTTGAGCTCAAATCATATAGTGAAATGGAGTGAGATTTTTTGCCACCCCGATGGTGCACTCTGTGCCTCTCTCCTCCACCATTTGTTGGATTTGTATCACCTACTCCCCACAAATAAAATTATAAAATATTCATGTGCTCCTATTGGTAAAAGTATTAGTAATAACAAATCTTATCAGAGAGCCCCTGAAAAAGCTGTCTCATGTATTCTCTCCAACTGGGAAGAAAAATGTATAATCCCATATCTAATAGACCTCTACTTGATCTGATCTATCCTGAACATGTTATAACCTAGCTTAAGCCATATATTCATCTGGGCAAGTAGTATAATATAATCCATTTTATTAATTATTTATATTTAAAACTATATTTTTAGTCCGGAGTGTGAGATAGACTTACCTCCACGTGGTGCACCCTGGGCAACGTATTCTCACACGGCAAAAAGTCTATAAACTGGCAGTTGACTTCTGACTTCAAACTGTCATGACCCCACTGTGTGACATATTCGACCCCTTCCTCAGTACTCATCTTACCTTTTCTCTACCTTTGTGTCTGTCTGTCTCTTTTATATCTTTGAATCACTCTTCTGTTCCCCCTCTCTACTTTTTCTCACTTTGATGTTCTTCTCCTCTGTGAAGCTTGAAGTCAGCTAAAAGGGCTAATGATATGTATCATAAAGCCCGCCATTTGAAATAAATAATATACCTTTAGTCCATTTCATAGCTATTATGTGGATATTATGCGTAATTTAAAGCTTTGTGTTTAAAAATTTTTAATTTCATTACCAAACATTTGGAGGAAGGCATGCATAAATTTGATGTTTTAGTCAATGCCAAATGATCAGTGGCAAATACTGTTTCTCTTTCCATACACTCGAGTAAAATTAAAGTTTGTTAAGAGGTTTGACTAAATAAAACAAGTTTAGAATGGTAGAAACCATGACTATATAGCGCAAAAATTCCATCAGATCTTAAGAACAGAAGCAAAGTGAGAATAAAATTCACCGATGCTTCAATATAAGATAAAATCAAAATTGGGATCTAATTCTTAGAACTATTGAGAATTGATAACTTATAATTTGAGTGAATGTTGGTGAGCTTAGATATGTTGAAACCTTGTTAACTTGCCAAGTAATTTTTATATTGACTAACAAATTTGACAATTTACATTCTTAGCCTCTTTGTCATATTTCAATTGATTGATTAAATATGGAATTATCAGAACATAAAAAGAAACAAACCAGCATATTTTCCCTCAACCACTATCTAAAACGCAGCCTAAATCCAAAGAAGCACTTTCAAAATATTTTTTAAATGGCAGGCTTTGTGATATTTATCATTAGGCCTTAAACTTTGACTTCAGCTTCCCCAATGGGTGGGGGTACATTGATAGCAGTTAATTAATAGCAGTTCATTAGCCGTCTTCTAGCTTCCCAGAATCTCTGGGTTTCCGTCGTTGTCATTTGGGCTGGATACCGAATCAGGTGGGTCTTCTCCATTTCCTCATGTAGGTTACATTGGAGGCATGTGGGTTGAGTGTATACTCCCAATCTGTGAAGGTGTTTTGCCAAGCAATCGTGTCCGGTACGTAGTCTAAACTCAGCAATGGATTTGATTCTTGGCCAGTCGGGTATGTCGGAAAGTGCCACTGTCCACTGTTTCTCCTTTGTTAAAGCTTTAATTTCGTTGGACCTTGAGGTCTGGAATTCTTTCCTGATTAAGGCCTTCATTGTGTGGAAAGACATCGGCCGGTCCATGCTTTGCAAAATCGTTGTCCCCTTCTTAGCAAGTGTGTCAGCAAGCTCATTGCCTTTAATGCCACAGTGACCAGGAATCCACTGTAGGACCACTGTTTTGCTTTTCTCTCTCAGCAGCTGATAGAGTTTTCTACATTCCTTTATCTCAGCTGTTTTGGGTGGCTCTCTATTTCCAATTGAGTTTATTGCAGACTGTGAGTCCGAAAGTATCACCGATTTGGTGAATTTCGTATCCGGGCAACACAAGTGGCATTGTGCTATCCTAATGGCCTCTAATACCTTCGAAAGCGGATCTATTGTGTCCCGCTGGTGCGTAGAAAGAGAAGAGTTCAGAATAGACACCTGCACCAACGTTTGTCTGTTTCAAATGGCAGGCGTTATGATAGGTATCATTAGCCCTTTAGTTGACTTCGGGCTTCACAGAAAGGAAAATGAACCTCAAAGTGGCAAAACGTCGAGAGGGGGACAGAATAATGATTCACAGACGTAAGAGACAGACAGACACAAAGGTAGAAAACGGTGAGGTGAGTACGGAGTCAGAAGTCAACTGCCAGTTTATANGGCGTTATGATAGGTATCATTAGCCCTTTAGTTGACTTCGGGCTTCACAGAAAGGAAAATGAACCTCAAAGTGGCAAAACGTCGAGAGGGGGACAGAATAATGATTCACAGACGTAAGAGACAGACAGACACAAAGGTAGAAAACGGTGAGGTGAGTACGGAGTCAGAAGTCAACTGCCAGTTTATAGACTTTTTTGCCTATGAGTATACGTTGCCCAGGATGCACCACGTGGAGGTAAGTCTATCGCACATCCCACCATTCCATTGTTGTCGCACCAGTTTGCTAGTAGTTTAAGAGCACAATTTAGGTCACTTTCCGTCCTCTCCTGAGCGTTTTTCTTAGGGGCAGAATACCATAGAACAAGATCATCTGCATAAAGTAAGCACTTGATGCCCGTGACTGTCTGTACCAATTCGGCTGTCATTGATGAAGACATTGAAAAGAGTGCAGCTTGTGACAGGTCCCTGTGGAAGGCCTGTTTGTAAAAGATTGGATTTTGATAGAGCATTTCCATATCTAACTTTACATGTTCTTTGTCTAATGAATGATTTTATCCAATTTAGCATGTTATGCTTCATACCAATCTTCGCTAATTTTAGAATTAGCTCCTCTTTCCATACTAAGTCATATGCTGATGAATCTTTGATGTGTTGGGAGAAAGTGGCTACTTGTTGGTTAATTGATCTTTGCGACCTAAAACCTGCTTGTTCACTCCTAAGAATATTGTTGGTCTCAAGGAACCAGGTCAGCTTCCTGTTAACCATCCTTTCCACAAGTTTAAGCCTATAGTTGTCAAAGTTGCTAGGGTCTTTGCCCTTTTTCAGTACTGGTATTACATTGGCAACTTGGTTAGGTACAAGACTGGTCTCCCAGATTTTGTTGAAAGTGTCAGCACAGTTTCCTTGGCTGTTGGTCCCATTCTTATTAGAAATTCCGAATGAATACGGTGTGGTTCCATTCTAATTAGAAACTCTGGATGAATACCGTCTCCGCCAGGAGACTTCTTGCACTTTAGCTGTTTTATCGCATCATTAAGTTTTTGCACTTTAACTGTTTTATCGCAGCATTAAGTTCGCAAGATCTGAATGGTTCAGTTAATACATTATTTGGTGTTGCGTCTCCCTTTATTTCACCACACTGTCTTACTTGTATTTTTATATCTCTTGAAGGATTTCTGACAAAAGGGTTCTTTTGCTTGTGGGAATTGAACCTCGCAAAGCAGTTAGCTATTTCGAAGTTAGTGGCGAGCGGTTTGTCGTTTAAGCTCACCGGTTCTTTCTTGGATCTTTCCCTGTTGTTTTGGAGATTACCCAGAAATTTGAAAGTGCGTTAGCTATCACTTTGATAGTTGATATTTGAGATGAACTTGTCGAAGGAAATCCGTTTAGTTTGTAAGATGGCTTGCCTTAGGACACCTGATTTTCGTCTCCAGGCTTGTACGTCTTTCGTTCTTCCAGTCTGATCAGCAGTGTTGCGAAGGACGTCCCGCTTTCTTTTCAGTTCCTCAAGGTGTCTAGACCAAAACACTCGATAGTGTTTAGTCTTGCCTCTGGGAATAGTTTTCTTTGCACATCGGATCATAATATTCGTGATATCAGTGCAAAGTTTGTCAGGATGTTGGTTGAAGTTGAGGGACTTGTGTGAAGTTCATTCTCTAAAAGGTTTATGAATCTAGGCCAGTCAGCCTTCTTGAAGTTCCATGATAGCTTAGTTGGCACTTTCCCTGTCATGCTTTTGCTGCCGAAGTTAATACTAGCAATGACCGGTTTGTGACCAGAACCAGGATTGTCAATTATTTTGCGGTGTGTATGCTCGCTGATGTCGCTTGAAGCCAGGAGTAAGTCAAGAGTTGTTCTGGTTCCACATAGTGCAGATATGTAGCCGGATCCTCATTGCTGTAAATAAGTTCCAGAGGGTTGCTGTTTAGCATGTCTTCGATTTCCTTTCCAGCTGTGTTTGTATTCTTTTAGCCCAATCTGGTGGAATGGGCGTTGAAGTCTCCTTATAATACAATTCTGTGTGAGATGTTCAGAAAATCAAAGTTGGGACAATTCTGAGGTGGATTATAGAATGCATACATCTTGAAGTAGTTTTGACATTTCCAAACATTTAATCTGATTATTTCACATTTGTCTTGTGTTGAGCCCATACTCTTGATTAGATCGTAGTGTGAGGTGAGGCCTTCTATTACTCCAGTCTGAATTCCACTTGCAACTTGCCGGTATTTAGGTAGATTGTACAGGGTGTAACCTGGGAATTGGTAGTATTTCAGTTTGTCATCCGAAATGTTTGCTTCCATAATTGTGAAAATGTCTACATCATAGGTTTGTAGGATTTTCTGGACTTGGATCTTCTTGTCCGGTGACATCCCTCCAGCATTCCACTGAAGGATCTGTAGACGTTGTGATTTGCCCTGACGAGGGCGATTTCTCTTATAGCTTTGTTTCAAGCTAATCATAATAAATAGAAGTCAAAATGCTGAGTGATAGACTTTTTTGCCGTCTGAAGATACGTTGTCCAGGGTGCACCACGTCGAGATAAGTCTATCGCGCACCCCACTTTCAAAATATTAAAAAACTTTAATAACAAGATTTCAAAGTAGCAACTCGAGCTGTATGAGTTATTTAGTACCCAAACTTCGAAAATTCAGTCTCGCATTCTCTTGGCAAATACAAGGAGTTTTTGTGTCAAATCAAAATTTCGGTAAGGCCATGTTATAAAATGAACCAAAGTAATCATTTAAACAAGTCGCTGCTATTGATACATTCATTTCTTATCCATCTTATAAATGCTATTGTATTATAAGTGTATGTAGGAGAAATATCTCGCAAAACCCTTCACTGGCCTTAATAAACAGGAAATGATGAATGCATTGAGGAGATAAGGACTCACCAGTGGTTCATCATTACGTAAACTGTCTGCTCTTTTGATCTTCGCTCACTCTTATTTTATATCCATTTTTCCTTGTTAACAGTCCCTTGATAAGATATAATTTTGAAATACTGCAAGAAACAATAAAATTTTTTAATAAAGCTATCTAAACCAAGCTAGCTTGAAAGGCTTCTATAAATTGGTTTAAATACTAAAATTTAAAAATCACCTTTCTTAATTTCCCCTAATATGGCAATATCTTAAAAAGTCTTAATCAAGTAATATTTTCATTTAAATACTATTTAGGTTTGTGGGAATTCGGTATCTAACGGTAAGTCGTCGGATCGTTTTAATATTTAGTTCATTATATTCTGTAGAGAAAACGCCTAAGGCGGTTTAAACAATTGATTTTGTTTTTTTACATGAAATTTTATTGATTCCCCATTTGAAGTATTCACCATGTTAGATCCAGATTTTCGGATTATATCAACACCTATTCTCCGTATCACACAAGATTTTGTCCAATACTTTCTAGCGCTTATGTGATTTATGGAGAATATTTCATTGCAATAGATTATTAAACTACGTTCGAAGTAGTTTGCTTATAAGTAAACGAGATATAGTATAATTTGACAACTTTGTAAACTAAGTTATGGGATTTCAAATGCCTTTTTTTCAATAAAATTTCAATTGCTTTTGAGACTTTTCTGCAGCATGAAGTGCAGTCTTTTTCTCTTCTTCACACCAAGCATTGGGAGGGCTCGATTCTCACATGCTGGTTCCCTCGGATGATTTCTAACTTCTGATGTTGACTCTTCTCGGATAATTAAGAGGAGGCATCAATAACAAGGATATCCATCTCATGTTCATTTTACTTCGAAATAACTTTTGAAAAAGTGCATTGGTGCAATCAGACATTGTTATAACACGTAAATGAAAGACCTTACCATCACATGTATATGACATATATTATCCATATCTCGGCTTTAGTAATAGAATCCAATGTAGACAATTCATGTGCCTAAATTTACTGGTTCACGTAGACTGACTTTCCAATACTTCATCATCTCAGTTCTTGCCACTTATCTATACCAGGATATTGAATATGAATCTGATTGAATGAAAAAACTAATTTATTCGTAATCATTCCACAAGCCCATGTGGTGAGAAAAGAAAACGCCCACAAGGAAAATTTTCTATAAAATATTTTCTGGTGCCTTCATCACTGGAGATTTATTTGAAAGCTATATTGAAATATTGTTATTATCTAAAATTAGAACCGATTAGCCGAATACGGAACATAAACACTGATAATTTTTCCGTTTTAATTACCTAATAGCCGAAATAGTTATTTGCAGATTCTAATTATGCATCGAAAGTTAGGGGTTTTCTTATAAGAGGTCAACAGTATATAGAACTTCCTCTGGTAGTGCGATACCATACGCAGTTAACTCAACCACTTGAAAAGGCTAAGAATACATTTTCCATTCTCAAGAGCATAAATAATAGTAAAGGTTATTATTGTTCATATTTTGGACTGAACAAATGTAAAAAACGACAATGATAAAGTTGTTTCATGGAGTTTTAAAAATTGGGGCTTGCCGTCCTGTGATCTTGTATCCATATAAATGATCGTATTTGACTCCATAGTTATTGAAATTATGATTTCCGATTGGAGTGATTTTAAAGGTGATTGGGTAAATAGTGTTTGTTTCACTAATTGTGCTTCTCACGAATTCATTAGAAGTCGTCTGAAAGTTCATCAAAGCCAATATCAGAATTTAACAAAATTGAAAGATGGGTGTTGATGTTGCTCCCTTTTCTATCTATATCGCTCTAAGGTATACATTATTCATTGAGGTCTTCAACGTACTTTTCAACATGAAGCAGACTGCGACAAGTCGGCAACGTTTAATTTTCAAACAGAAACTACGGGAACTTATCTGTCAGGCGATAGGAATTTGACGCATCCAGAAGCTGCCGGTAATTCCATTATGTTTATGTAAACACACCCACTCAGGCATTGCTGGCATACAGATAATGACCCCGTAATGGAAGGGGAAACGAAGTGGATTCCTGGAATTGGGTTGAGGAATGCTAAATTTGTAGAAGGAAAAATTAACCTGTGGGTGGTCTTTTCCATCGAAGACACACTTTCCTTGCATGCGTTTTCTCGCCTTTTAATTTCGTTCCTTCAATTTCTTTCTATGGTAGCTCAGTTCAGCCGAATATCTCAACTTTCATGTGAAGACGTTTACTTCTCCCCTCGTAAATAGACCGAATCGGAACTCTTCCGCAAAGTAAACAATAAATAGGCTCTTTTGTAAAATATTTAGGCGAAATGTCACTTCCATGAAATTGCAGTAAAAACAACAGTTGAATCTCAATTGCTACTCGTGATCTACGTTATTCTTAAACTTTAAGGCAACAATAATATATGGAAATTCTCAGTCTTTTCTTAATTTTTACGAATTTGAGTTATAATAAAATATTTTACTAAAAGACGAAGCAGTTAGATATATTGCTTTTTAAATCCTCTCACTTTAGTGGCTATGTGATAGTAGGGCGATAGCGTTACTTGAAGGTTAATAGTAGTAAATAAAGTGTTCGGTGAAATTTTACATTTTAGGACTTTGAATTCTATTCACTGTCAAAAAGAGAATCTAATGAAAGCAACTGGCTGTAAATATTAAATTTTATCTCCAACTACTAGAGAAAGTAAAATTAGCCTCTATTTATTTATATCAAATGGCAGGCGCTTTGATTGTTATCATTAGCCCTTTAGCTGACTTCGGGCTTCACAGAGAGGAAGGAACATTAAAGTGAAAAAAAGTCGAGGAATGGGGGGGGTGAGGGGGACAGAAGAGTGTTACAAAGATGTAAAAGAGACAGTCAAAATTGTAGAAAATAGGTGAATTGAGTACTGTAGAAGTAGTTGAATATGAAATACGGTGGAGACATGGTTGTTTAAAGTCAAAAGTCAACTGCCGAATAATAGACTTTTTGACGTATGAGTATACGTTGCCCAGGGTGCACCACGGACTCTTTTGCCGTGTATACGTTGCCCAGG